AGTAGCAGATGGAATTAGACTTGAGCAGGCAATATACTGGCTTAAAACTAACTATCCTACAGTTACTGCAGAAAAACAGCGAATGCTCTTTGGTTCAACGGTCCAAGGCAGTGATCCTGTAGGTCGATTCTATTCTAAGTTACGTAAACTTGCTAGGCTTGCTGGTATTGATGAACAACAAATTCGATTACAATTTATTCGTGGCATTTCTCCTGATAATTAATTAGAAATTCGATGTATCAGAATTAACAGACCCGTATCAGAATTGCTCACAGAACTCGAAGAAATTGAGAAATATAAGACAGAGCAATTATCTGGAGCTTATTTATATTCAGGTTCAGATAAATCTTATAGAAAAGATAATAACCCTTCAGGTTAGGGTATGACCAAAACTGAAATCGAAAACTTAATAAAATCTATGATGCCATCTATCCAAGAAATGAAGACTCAGCACTTTGTGCCATCTCAACCGATTTCTTCACAACCATCTCAATCATACTATAGGCCACAACCACCAGGAACCTCTCAAATTATACAAGATACGAATATGAGTAGATTTATACAATGGCTTACTGGAGAGATTCCAGAATTTGTTCCTGTTCCTAAGCCCGATTTACCCCCAAAACCAGTAATAAAGAAAGTATTGCAAAGCAATAACCCACAGGGTCTTGAAGTTACTGATAATGATCCTGTAGAAGATATGCGTAAACAATTAAAAAACCTCCAAATCAATCTGACTAAAATAAATAAAGCTATGAAAAAGAATTCTAGCAAGCCTAAATCTTCTTGTCGCAAGACCAAAACCAAATCTAGAACCCAAAAAAAGAAATCGAGTCGATCAAAATATGTTAATGCCCATATAATTTCAGATGAATCATCTTCAAACTCTAGCGATAGTGAAAATAGTACAATATCTAGTAAAAATGAACTTGAAACCAATACCTTAGCACACTCATGCAATGAATCAGAATCTGATTCCCTAGGACCAGTGAGTCTAGTAATTCAGAAAGTGATGAGTCAGAGACTTGAGGCTATGCCTCTTCAGAAGAATACGAAATCAATACCACAAAAAAAAAATTAACTTATTCTGATACCAAGAGATCAAAGAAGCACAAAAGTGTCAGGCCAGAACCTGAAAGGTCATTGCGAAGCAATAAAACTTCTAGCAAAAAATCTAGTAATGTCTCTGATAAAAAGGGTAGTAAAAATAGACCCAAAGGGTCATTGCTTCGTAATACTAGGTCACTTAAAATTCCTACAGATAATATTAGCCTAAATGCATTTTTTGCTATTTTACGGTCAATGGTTGATTCATTTACTCGTACACAACCTAAAGAAGTCTCAATTAATAGTCATAATATGATTAATACCGAATTCATTGCACTAAAAGATCCTGTTCTAAATCATTTTACTTCAAATTTCTCAGACAAAGAACGAGAAAAGTTCTGGCATGAGATTACTATGATATTCTCTCACATCTTGCAACCAATATCAGATCTAATTCGAATTGCTTCCCAGCAAACAGCTCCAGAAGAGATGCAACCAGAAGCAGAAATTTCATGGCCAAATCCTATAGAAATTAATTTTATTTGTAAAATTATTCCTAATGATGTTGCAACTATTACTTGCCAAATTACTTCACCATCAGGAAAAAATATTCAAGTACCTGGTGCGTTAATAGATAGTGAAGCAAACTGCTCTCTTAAATCAAAAGGTCTTGCAAAACTATTAGGAATGAATATTGACAAAAATAAAAAACCTTCAGTAAAATGGCGTAATAATTCTTTAGAATCCATTGGAACTTGTTATAATGTACTAATTACTTTTGGCTATGGAGATAATAGTTATACAATTACAGAAGACTTTCCAGTAATGGACGATGATAAACCTTGGATATTATTAGGCACTCCTTTGCTTGATCGTGCTGGATGGGAGCCTATTGTTAAGCGTGAATTCAAGTTAATACATAAAGGTAAAGTAATTACTATACCTCTTTCAGTACATAAGTCCCAGAGAGAAATATTTAAACCAGAAATCAACTTGACTTTTCACAAGCATGATTCAGTTCAAGTATCTACTGATGGCACAAAGTGCCGAATCTCTGATTCCTCTTCTAGTCAGTCTAGTAATAATGATATATTATTAGAGAAATGGCATGCTCCTGCAGGTTTTAGCCCAGATTTTAGTCTATCTAGTGAGGATGATTTATTGCAAAGCAAGTCATTAGATGATGAATCAGAGATGAGTCAAAGACTCGAAGCTCAGCTTCCTCAAGACTTTACCTCTTTTCCAAATCATGACCTGGGTCTAGACTCAAAAAGCCAATACTCTGCAATAAAAAAAAAATAATTAATATATCTCAAGTTCGAAATATTTCTATATGGTAAAAATGTATGAATCACTTTTTCCAAGATATATTATTGCAAAGCAATGACCCTTCGGGTCTAGAATATGATTTACCATCTTTATCTTCTAACTGATGAATAAGATTATATATAATACCATTTCGGATTAATTTTTTTAATGTAAGTTCGAATAATTTTGTACTCCAATTAGCCATATCTATCTTAATTTGATTGCATTCTATATCTTTCTGTTGCTTAATAGTTTTTAAGGTTTCCTCAGTAGATTTAATAAATTCTTGACGTAAATTATCTGTAGCTTCTTTGATTCTAGCATTAACCTCTTCTTCAGAGTATAATAGAGCAATGTTGGTATAAAGTACTGAGGAAGCTGAGCTTTGAGACTTTGTCTCTGCTTCTATTGTAGGATTATATCGAGATTTTTTATTTCTTTGGTATCTATCAACTTCATGTTTTAAAAATGCCTCTATAATAGGGCTAATACTACTGGCTTCACTTTCAGATAATGGATTTTTTTTTCGAGTTGTAAGCCGATTCCATCTAGCTTTTATTAATGAAGGTGGTTGTTGAGCAAGAAGACTTGAATAATTTTCGTGAAAAGTCATGTAATTACATAAAAAAATAATTTTATAACTATTATTTATTCTATAAGACAACTTTTGTGAAAAGCTATGTAATTACATGAAAAAATAATTTTATAACTCTTATTTATTCTATAAGACAACTTTCATGAAAAGCTATGTAATTACATGAAAAAATAATTTTATAACTCTTATCATTATTTATTTTAAGTTCAACCCTAGTTCAACCCTAGTTCAACCTTAGTTCAACACTAGTTCAACCCTAGTTCAACCCTGTACAACTATAGTAATTTTTTTTATTATATAACAATATGTAAATCTGATAGTCGATATACAACTCTACTTCAACCATACTTCAACTATACTTCAACCATACTTCAACCATACTTCAACCAGAGTTGATCACAATTAAAATAATTAATATAATTATCATGATCTACAGAATAAAAAATCGTGAAATATCGATTAGATATATGAAGTCAAAGGCCCTATCGTCTAAAGTTAGACGAAATTTTTTGCATGACTATCCCAGGAAGAAGTATAATAAATAAAAAGCGAGGTGGATACATTCAAACTATTTCTCATCTCGTAGCTCAGTGGACTAAACCGCGGGAAGCTCATTTGGTCTTCCTCTTCTTACTACGTAGACAATTATAGTGATGATCATGCCCTCTAAAATTGGGTTTTTGTAAATGTGAAAAAACCAAGCCAGAGGCCCTATCGCTCAATAGAGATGAAATTTTTTGCATGACTTATTGGAAGAAGAAGTAAATTGCAGGGAGGTAATAATCGGATCCTGGGCCTGCCTCGAAAGGCTATAACTACACCTGAGAAGACTATATATTAAAGGTATGGTTAGGTTGTGTATTTTCATGGACCAGACAAAACATCTTCGTTAAAGCACAGGACTATCATGGCTCTGTTGAATTCCACGAACCCATGCAAATAACTTGAGCGATCGTCTTAACGACATGAAGGCAATCTAGTGAAAAAAATGGAATATTGGTAAAAAATTTTGGTTATAGAATGAAAAAAAGATTTATATACGGAGATACTATTGCCTTATCTGCTATATATAATAATTAATCCAGGTCATCTATATTGCTACGTGGTTTGTTAGCCTCATATTTGTTTTTAAGGAGCAGATTATTTAATAATCCATAAATATTTATATACCCCAGTCGTATATTAGAAATATTTTTTTCTAATTTTACACGATGAATAAAGCGCATGGTAGATGTTCAATCAACACGCATCACGATTTTTGAGACTGAAATTTTGATATATTTAGCACTACAAATTTAGAATAAGCGTCATAATATATACTGGGCTGTGAATATTCGAAGGTGCAGGTTTGTTTTCGTAAATACATGTGCGCTATTTTAATGCAACCACGTTCTACGTATCAACTGTTGATACATATAA